GAAACTCTCAGTTAATTGGAATAGTATTCTGGTTAGTACTATTTTTAGAAATGTGTTTCCCAGTGTCATGTTGGTTTAACTGTGAAGAGGACGAATTACCTCCTACTCAGAGAAGGGAGGCCATGTAAGCATCTGGGCCCACAGTGACATAAACTGATGGAGAAGTCAACATCCCCTCTCAACCTGTAAATATCAGAATAGGCCTCATAGCTTCTTTAGAATGTCCATTCTTCCTTTGAATCAAAATAGCTCAGTGTTTGAAATGATTTACCAGTTTCTCTTCTTACACTAAATAATAGGTCCTTGCATTCTTAAACTGAACTTTGTTTTACACCATCATAATCATTTCAGAAATATTTGTTGTGCAGAGAAAATGAAAACAGTTTTAACAATTTTCCTATCTCCCCGCAGAAAGCAGTGTACGGGGGTGGGGGGGGCACTTTCAAAATATCATCCATGTACTACTTTGATCCATAAGGGCTCCCTCTGATCAAGACAGATTAGGAAATCATCAGATGCAGGTGTACACAGTGCTTTATAAAATAAAGCACTTGTATTTCTATGTGTTTTAAACTTAAATGTGGCAGGTTAAGTATGTCTATAACTGTGTACATACCATACTTCATTTAGCACTACAATAAAATGCAGATTCAAAAATAAAAATTATATTTACTTTTGGTATTTTGAGACAGGGCCTCACACTGCAGCTCAAGCTGGCCCTGAATTGTGATCCTCCTGCCTTATCTCCTAAATGTTGAGATTATAAGTATTCACTACCACTATCAGCTTCAAAAATGTTTTGAAAAATGTATTTTGGAGCTGGGTGGTGGTGGTGCACACCTTTAATCCCAGCACTTGGGAGGCAGAGTTAAGCGGATCTCTGTGAGTTTGAGACCAGCCTGGTCTACAAAGTAAGTTCCAGGACAGTCAGAGTGGTTACACAGAGAAACTCTGTCTTGAAAAAAACCACAAAATGAAAAACAAAAATGTGTTTTGGTTCTCCAGGCATAGTGACACATGCCTTTAATCCCAGCACTTGGGAGGCCGAGACAGGTGGGTTTTAGATCTCTATGAGTTTGAGACCACCTGGTTTACAAAATGTGCTCCAGGAGACCACAGAGATCCTATCTCAAAAAAAAAAAAAAAAAAAAAAAAAAAAAAAAAAAAAAAAAACCAGAAAGGAAAAAAGAAAGTCTCATCTTATCTAGCAATTGTTGCTTTTCTGCTATAAAATAAGCACAGTTTTATTCAACAAAAATCAACAAGTTTATAAACAGCAACAGTGTATGAGCTAAGAATTCAAACTATAGTTTGAATATTTTAACAAATTAAACTACGAGGTGATAATTAGTCATTTATAAGGAAACAAAACTGGCAGAAGAGTACAGTAAGAAAATCTAACGTTGACTAACCGTGTCTTTTGAATTTTCTATGTGAGAAGTTGAATGTTCTGTTATTCTGTGTCTCAACCAGATCCTTCAGATGGTCACAGGTTATAGCAGAAAGGGTCTCTAACAAGGCATAATATTGGTCTGCATATGCATGACACCTGCAGCCTTGACCTTATTAGAATTATGACCCAATCAAATGAGCTTTATGACCTAACTTTACAAATGTGAAATTATTGTTTTGTCCATATTTGACCCAATAAACTGTGAACACCTAAAGACACAGCATTGCCACTCAGTTACAGTCATCAATTACAGAAAATAAAACTAAGGTCATTTATTAAATGTCTTATCTCATGCCCCCAGCCCCAAACCAATACAAGGTCTCACTATGTAGACCTCAGTGGTCTGAAACTCACTATGTAGACAAAGCCATCTTTGAACTCAGAAATCTACCTGCCCTTGACTGCTGAGTGCTAGGATTACAGCCATGTGGTACCATGCCCATTTTAAATAAGTTTTTTAGAAAACACAAACAGATGTTATTTACTATCAGTTATTAATTCCATCTTCGTTGAGTTAGAACTGGGAAGAACATCTAAAACCTAATATTTTTGGCAGTTCATAGCACATCCGGTTTGAATATCATAGAAGTCATAATCCACTGGGAATTGTGATTAATCACTTTATAACCTACTCTGAAGCTTGACATTTTATACCGTGTTGCTCAAACTTCCTAAGCTGTATTGTGAAATGATGATTGACTTACGGGAGTGCCAGGTAGCTTGGATAGTTTTTCAGACTTAGTGCTAAGCATGTAATATTTAGGTTTCCGTTGCTATGACAATATATTGAGACAAACAACTTAAATGGAGGAACATTTTACTTTGGCTTACAGTTTCAGAGGTCATAGTCCACATGGCAGTGTCCTGGTCCCATTGGTTTTGGGACTGTGCTAAGGTAGAATATCCTGGAAGGATAGAGTGGAGGAAAGGTTCTCACCTGTAAAAACTGAGAAGTGACACAGAAAAGAGGAGTGGACCATGTTCCAACATCCCTTTCAATGGTACACCTCTATGACTACAGGCCAGCAACCAAGCCTTCGAGTAACAGCCGGCAGGGCACATTAGCTTAAGATGTATGACATCACACCCTAACTGCTGACATACTCAATCTGGACTTCAATGCAAAGACTATTGCTATGTGTAACTAGCCAGCCTCTCCTACCTTCTGCAAGGGCCAATAACAGCACTGAAGAGACAATTAGGAAAATATCTGTAGGACCTCACAAAGAAAAGTGGACAGGGCCTGGCAACTCCCATTTATTTTTTTATGATTTACAACAAGCCCAGTTATGTAGTCCAGGCTGGCCATTAATTTGAGGCAATTCTGTCTCAGCCTCTTAAGTCTTGAAAATTGTGGGCCTGCCCTGCTCTCCCATGCCTAGCTAAAATCTCCAATTTATAGTCAACACTTAATAGTCTCATTTAACCCTTAAAACCACCACCTCCATTTACTAAACATGCCTAATGGCTATAACCAAGGGACACTGAAAGATTAAAAGGTAGGAAGAAAGTACAACAAAAAAAGTTGTGCATGAAAATTTGGTGGGCCATGACTGTAATCTCAGCACTAGGGAAGTAAAGCAAGTTAGAATTACCTCAGCACTAGGGATGGCAAGTTAGAATTACAGTTAGCCTGGCCACAGAGTAAGTTCTAGACCAGTCTAGAGGAGGGGGCAGGGGAGAAGAAAAGGGAATCCTTATAGTTGCTCCTATGATCTTGAAACAAAACTGAATATTCTAAGCAAAAATAAAGGAGATCACACATACATGTGTACATGCATGCACACAGTTCTTTTTGACCATACAGCAAGTCAAAAACAAAGAACTAGGTCAAAGGTAACATCGAGCTGAAGTTACTGGTGAATCAAATGTACTCTTTACATCTTCTCCGGCCCTCTAACTTCCTTCTGAAAAGGCCTAATCTCATCTCCTTTCCTAAGACAACCAACCTACAGAACAAAGCCCATGCCTCACTCCACTTAGCTTCCATTAGAATAATCGTTCAACTTGCAATGGTTACATTACCTTCCACACCTAATAAAGGGTTTCCTTTGAACAAAGGTATAGAGTGTGAAAGTGACAGCAATTGGTAGATCACAGCAAACCTGAACTAGATAGGCTTAATTAAGGTCAATGTATCAGCTGTATCTGGCTCATCCCATCCTTTTAGTACATGAAACATCGTAATTGTCTTAGGGTTTTTGAACACTGGTTATAGTTAGGTTCATACTTGGTAATAGCCTGGTCCAAATACAGGTCCTATCACTGCCATTTTCTTATTAACTACCAATCTTCATCCAGAAATAGTCACTGTTGCAGCCAAAAGTGAATACACACCAAAACTGAGGAATCTAGATGAAAATGCTTTCGCATCATCAGTTCAAAATATTCAGTCAAATATCACCAATAGCCAAGAAAGGGCATTCTAGCTAAAGCTTATTAAGAAAAGGTTGGGAATTCAACATTTCTATTAAATACATGAAATAAGCTTTACACTGTCTTTGATTATTTATCTCAAGCACAGAATTTAGATTATGAGCTGAACTTCACAAGACCTGGCATAGTTCTTCTGTTCTACAAAACATCTAAAACCCATTATACCCTGCCAGGCCATGGTGGCATATGCCTTTAATCCCAGCACTTGGGAGGCAAGGGCAGGCTGATTTCTGAGTTTGAGCTAGCCTGGTCTACAGTGTGAGTTCAAGAACAGCCAAGGCTACACAGAGAAACCATCCTGAAAACAAAACAAAACAAAAACATTATGCTTTATCAAAATCAAAAGAACTAAAAGAAAAAACATAAATTTGGAAGCTGAAGAACACAGTTTGCTACCATGAAGTATTTATCAGATGTATTTGACTCCCATGAATTTTGTGGGGATCATACATACCCAATTTAACATAGAAGTTTAGGTAAAAATATTATTCAAAATTGTTAAAGAAGAATCTATTTCTTGCTAGTTGATCATATATGCTGTAATTTCTAACAGGTTTTAATTTCTCAAAAGCTAAAGAGTCAAACATAAAAATTAGCTCATATACTCAAAAAGCATGACGAAAGCAGACCTCAGTACTGCTTGCTATTGGGGGAAGGCAGTAAGATTAACTACACTAAAGAAAATTACCCTTTATGAATCCTACATTCATAGACATCATATCTATCTTCATAATGACTAAAATAAATAAATGGGAGAGAAGAGATTATTAAAATTCTAAGTTTAATTCTACCCAATTGTGAGTGTATTGGAGAAAGAATAAACATGGTAACTGGCAATGTGGTCAGGTGCTCAAAAACTCTTCGTACCAGAGCTCAAGTCAACTGACCATAATACTTAGTCTGAAATCTCAGGCTAAGAAAAATTTAAAAGTCTCAATGTACAGTTATTGATTTTTCTATGAAGTACTGCCTTAATTCAAACATATTAATAATGTTTGGCCTGCACACTGTCTATGACATTGTAAAGCCCCACAAAATGTTAATCTATGTAATAACTATGAAGAAAGCAAAACATCTTTAAAAATTCCAAAGCCACAGAAAATCAGGCCAGTTATATTTCAATTGTGGAGAAAATTTAATGGTATTCATTTTAAACTGTGAGATATGATTTTCCCCCATAAAACACAATATGCAATTATTTCTTTAGACAAGTCAATCAGTATCACCAACAAAAAAATTATAACTTGGTTTGTAATGAATCAGTAATGTTATCTAGCCAAATGTATAGGTACCCTGCATTATGTAAGATATTAAAACAAACAAACAAAAAAAAAAAAAAGAGAGAAATCTTCCAGAATCACTTTTTAAAAAATCAAATGAAACTGAAGTCTTTCAGCATTTGAAAATTAATGGCTTTTAAGAAGGATGAAGAACTATGGTTCTTAAAGACACTGTTAACATTTTGACATCTGTAATGAAAGGGAAAAGCTACTAATCCTAGTTCTTCGTCACACAAACTTGTCATTGCAGCTGATTTTCAACATTTATACATGCAATATAAATTACAGCTCTGTATAACATTACAATACCATCCAAAAGAAAATAAGGATATACAAAATATTTGATAAATAAAATTATTGCATTTAATGTTATTTTTCTTGAAAATCCAAATCATCATATTCCTTAATGTTGTACCAAACAACGCCAGTTCAAATTATAGAAAATGTATGTCAACACTACCTGAAAACAAAATTAAGGAGGGTATAAAGCCCTACTTACATTTTGTTTAATTTACGTCAAGTGATCATGGAAACAAAGACTATTAAAATTATTTTATAATTATGCACAATGAATGAAAGCATAATAGATAGCAGAGTACTTTTCTACCATAAAATTATTTACACCCAATTTATTCAGCTAGAAACACTAGCTTGAGAGGTACTGGTCTGGTATATTCCACTTGAAATAACTTCTGTACAGCAAACAACTGTCTTATATTTGGAACATGTTGAAGAAAATAATTGTCTCATTATTTTTGAGTTTTGAGTCTTGATTACTAACAGTTCAAGGTATTGGGGGAGAATCCTGGTGTCCTGGATGGCTCAAACACATTAAGATCAAGCAGTGTTTGTATTCTGAAATGATCTCCAGTCCATACAAATGCTTGTCCTGTAGGCTGCAGGCCCAGGCTTCTCCTACTGGCACTGGGATGTGACAGGCGAGCGTGTGTTAGGAAAGTTTCACACCGATTTTGTTTTGCTCCTTCTTCATCAGACGCTGCGCCTCTTTCTCCATTTTCTTCCTTTGTTGTTCTGCTGCTCTTTTTTCTCTGTCTGCAATTTTCTGCTGCCTGAAGAGAGAAACACATTCGTATCTTTACTTTTATAAAATATTGCACAGGTAAAATAGCAAATAAATTACAGAAAGGGTGCCTTCTTATAATCAAGAAATAAATGCTTAATGTCTTTAATTTTCTCATTTCTCTGAAATTTTCAAGGATTTTTCAATAGGAGGATTTCTGCTTATCCTTAGAAGATGACTTCACAAACAGAAACATTATCTTTATTAACAAACAGGCAAAATGAGTGACAGAGCTCAGAGACTTACATAGCCATAGTATTAATATGTAGGAACCCACATCTTCTTGCTTTGCTTCTTTACCTTATTCCACAAAACTCTACTTGTATTCAACCACAGCCTTTGTGTGTGTCAGGGGGAAACTACCCAAAAAAGTTTGACATTGGAATTAATTCTATTCTTGGTCTAAGAGACTTTTTTAATTAGCTAAAGGATGTTAGAGACACATTGCAAAAAGGAAGTGGAATTTCCCATGTACCTTCTACTCAGAACTATGAAATTTAAAGATTAACATTTGAGCAGCTCCATAAAGCATACTGTAGTAGGTATTTATCAATGACTCTCTGTCTGGCTCTTAGCCCAGTACAGCTCCACTGACTAGAAATGACAAAAGCACTCTATCTTTACCAGTGGGCTTGTATAGGAAGGGAGGCTGGGCCTGGAATGATGACACAGGAAAGAGGGGAAGGAACCTAAATTGGGTGTCAAAAAGTAACTCAAGTATGTAAGGTTGAAGAAGGAAAGCATAGGTTACCACTGAGCATGGAATAGGAAAAATCCAGGTCTATGTAGAATAGTCCAGGCTGGGGCATCTAAATTAGCATATGTTCAACTTAAAGTTTATGAAAGTGATATGTTAATGCATACCAAATGCATACATACAAATATGCATGTGCATGCATGTACGGTTGATTTTCAGTAGCAATTACAAATGCAAGGAGGCATAGTTATAGATGATCATAATTCCACAAAGGAGAAACATTTCTTTGTGGCAACACTCCAACTTTCAACATCAATTAACAAGTTTAAAGAATGAAAGAAAACCTATTTCACACTAGCTCTGCTTAAGCATAAGAAAAACCTGAAAATATGTACTAAAAAAGCAGCCCAAAACATTAGCATTAAAAAGTAGAAAGGAAAATAATTATAAAGGTTATAAGAAGATAAACTTGGACATGGTTCCTCTCTAAAATGAAAGCATCAGTAATGAACCGTCCAGGCACAAGAAACAATTGAGATTACTGAAGAGGAATGTATACATATATATTACCCACCCAGAGTCAAGCCTGGAACTGCTTCAGTACTAGAATCATACTCAAATAACTGACCACAGAGCTAGACTATTTTAAGTTGGCAATGGAAAAAATTCTGAGCTTAAAGAATTTGGACCACAGATACACTTTCACAATGCTTAGTGTCTTTCTAGAGGTAGCAATGCCACAAGCCTCCATGTCGTGTTGACTATACTCATGCAGCACACAGCACGAAGCTTGTCTACTATTAACTAATAATCTCATTCAATTAAACTGTCATCATTTTTGTTTTATTTAAGGAATAAGAGATAGGATGGAAAAGGGAAGGTTTTAGAGTAACATGAAGATGCTCTGCTCATGGCTAAAATATCTGTAACACTGTCTGTCATTAAGATTATTAGATTCAAATGAACAGCTCTTTCCTTGTGCTACATGAAACTAATAATTATTAAAACCCTTCAAATTTTCTAAGACATTTGATTTTTGTACCTATTATTAGTTTTTAAAGTCCAGAATAAAAATGTCTTTTTTGATCATCCTTGCAACATTATTACTTTAGTCCACAACTTAAAAAATACCCTTTATTAAAAAGACTCAGTTACACAGACCAAAAGGAAGCTAAGTGTGAAAAACTCCCACAACTTTAAAAATGTGATTCCCCTTCCTGTTTAAAGAAGACATGCAGAAACAAGATTTAAAAGAAAAACAAAACAAAACCTCTATCTATTTAACTGCACCCTCTGCTGGTTATTTAAGGTTACTATAAATTGGCCATCAAAGACAAGACAAAGCAAGAAAGAAAAGAAAAAAAACATAAAAATGAGTACAAGTAAAAGATAATTCACTCTCTATCCTTAGGGCAAAAACAATCATAATTTTAAAATAAAAATTCTATCACTATATTTTGCTAATTTTTTATATTTTATTTTACATGTATGTGTGAGCCTGAATGTATTTGCATTATGTGTGTACAAGTGTCCACAGAGGCCAGAAGGGGAGGCTAGATCCCCTGAAGCTGATGTGGGTGCTGGGAACAGAACCTGGGTCTTCTGGAAGAGAAGCACGTGCTCTTACCCACGGAGCCATCTTCCAGTCCCTTGCTATATGATCCTAAACACATAGAGACTAGACAGATTTATATTTGAGGTTGCATCAGAGATAAAAGTCACAGGTCTGCTTTTCGCTATTCTTCCCTTGCTTTTTGACCCAACACAGAAGTTCAATAACTGAGTTTATTACTGTGTTTCTTAGACAAGAAACACAGAATGAACATCCAAAAAAAATGAACTTTAAAACTACAGAATAATATTTACTTTTCTGTAGAATGGATTGTTAATCTGACTTCCCTGTTTTATGGTACTTTCATCGACACCAAAGTAAGATACATGTAGAGTTTAAGGGTGCTTTATTAGCTACTTTTATTCAACTGTGAAGTTCAGACACTATATTAAACTGAAACAATAAAATCAAAATTACAACTGCTAATCTAGAACAGCGTATCACGGTGGTCACATTTCACAGTAGGACATCATAACTAGCATGTGGTATGTATAGGCAAACAACGTTTACCGTTGAGATTATTATCCCTTGAGTCAGACAGTGTTTGAAATTCATAGTACATATAACAAGATATGAAATCTGGAATTCAGAGCATGTTCACTGAGAAACAAGCTCTATAAGGTTCAGTGTAGAAAAATGGAGACAGATATTTGGCAGAGTAGGCTTTCTTGATCTTAAATACAGGAAACAAATCTAAGTTTTCTATTCAAGGTGTACGATAAACATCATCCAAATACCTCAGAACTTCTTCTGCTTGCCAGGCTGCATCTTCTTCCTCTTCCCATGCATTGGTATTTTCTTGCCAGGTATCTAAGTCACCTAATTCTGACTACAATGGAAAACAAAGAAAAACTAAGACAGTAAAGAGCCATCATTTCTCTATACAGCAGTTCAAAACCAAAACAATCAAAACAGAGTGGTTGTAAGCCTAACTCAGAAAAACCTATTACTCTCCTATGGTTCCCGAACTCTGTACCAGTCCCCAAATAGGGCATAAATGATCTAGCCTGTAGGTTGTCTACAACTGCAGATTTCGCAATAATGTTATGATGTGTGACTTTCCCAAGTGGTGAAAATGTTCTAGGCAACTGGTGTAACAGTGCACACCTAATGGAGCCAACGGCTGTCTGGACCGAGGTTGGCTCTACAGCTGAGAATTCACGGCTGGTACTATAAACCTGGTCAAAAGTCCATGGCAGCGGGGGACATAGGCACTAGTAGGGAACAGCTACCACTGCTGTTCTGCTAGACAGACATGCTGTGCTCACTAAATTACCTTCTAAAGATTTAGGGTTGTGTCTATAAGTTGGTGCTCCTGTCAGCATGGGTCAGAGGAGCTTCCTTTTCCAATCAGCTGGGGTTTCTGTAGACTCATAAGTACTCAAAATGACCAGAATCAGCGGCTGCCGAATGCTCAACTCTAAGAGGATAACTCTGTCAACACCTCCTGCCTCCACTACCAAAGCCCAGAAAACATCATGGAAGGGGCAGAAGGAACCAAAGAGACTGAGCAATGGTTAAAGTATTGTGAAATGCAGTCTTTTTGAAACGGCACAGCAAGAACTCACAGTAGCTATGATTAGCTGCGTAAGACTTGCATGTGAATAGTCCCTCAACATTCCCTCGTGGGAGTGGAGGAGGGGATCATGTGGCCCCTTTTACACCTAATGACCTAAAGTTACTGACAGCTGGTGAGATGGACATTTTCTTCAGTGGTGCAGGTACTGGCAAGTAAGCAACCAATTAAAATACACACACACACACAGAGAGAGACACAGAGAGAGAGAGAGAGAGAGAGAGAGAGAGGGGAAGAGACACAGAGAAAGAACAGACAGAGAGAGAAGAGACATACAGACAGACGGAGAGACTATGTGAGTGTGTTGAAGACAACCAGATTACTTCAAATTCCTTCTTCATTTTATATGTTTTACAGAATACTGTTTTCTATTTAATTTTGGTTTTCACTTTCTTAGTTTGGATTAGACAAGAATAAATTCTTTTTTATTTGTTTGTTTCTGTTTCTTTTTGGGAGCAAAAGGGAGAGAAAGAATACAGATCGATCCCAGAATTACTGACAACGTTTAACTGGAGTAGTCTGTGCTGGATGTTAAGTTTAAAACTAGAACAGTGCTTTCCAGTTAAGCATATGAAATGTAAGGTGTTTTCACTGGCACTTTCTGTTTCCATCCTACACAGATAAAATAAACCAGGCAAAAACTTATGAAAACTGTACCTTATTATTCAACTGAATTTCTAAACAGATTAAAAAAACACATGAGATATTATTACGTTATGTTTCTTGTTGCTAATCTTTACGTTTATAATATTTGCCCATTTCTCCACTGAAGTATTTGACATGACATTTAGAGATTTAAAATTGTGTGTGTATATATATTACTGAGAAATTACCATTAAATACAGTAATCTCCTGAGTAAAAATGGCCTTCTAAGAAAAAAAGAAAAAAAAACAAAGACAAGACAGGTGGGTTTGCATACATAAAACTAACCACATCTGAGACTAGGGAGGCAGCTCAGTAAAGTGCTCGCTATGCAAGCATGAGAACTTGAGTTTGGACCCTCAGCATCCGGGTAAGAAACTGGACATGGCAGTGTGTGCCTGAAATCCTAGTGGCTGGCAAGTGAGACAGGAAGATCCTAGAGGTTCACTGGCCAGTCTCAACAACTGGTGAGTTCTAGGTTCAGTGATAGACCCTGTCTCCAAAAATAAGGTGAAAGTCACTCAGCATTTATTTCACCTCTACATGCTCACACATATGTTCTCTCTCTCTCTCTCTCTCTCTCTCTCTCTCTCAATACCTCAATACCTCAAAAACATCCAAATGAAGCCAACAACAGTGAAAATTTGTAAAAGATGATGGAAAAAAGTAGATATCCTTAGTATAAAGTTTCCATAGTACAAATGAGGATAAAAACAGAATATTTGATTTGAAAAATAGTCTACACTGACAACCTATAGGCAACAGTTAATGCTTCCTGGGGGAAGAGACATTTTCTTCAGTGGTATAGCCACAGGTAAAGTGTTCATGCTCCTATAAACTGCCATTGTAAATAATCCCTCAGCCATGCTCTTCATAAACAATCCTAATAAAACTTAGTGGGTCATTAAAGAAAAAGACATTAAAGTAGAAATAGCTACAATGTTACAGTTTCATAGCATCATGTGTTATGAATATCTGTAATTGTGTATGCAATCATTTAACACTATCTCTTCATTATAATCAATCTCCTCCTCTTCCCACACCCTGAAAAATCAATACTTACTTATGCACAAGTAAAGCCAAACAGCCTTAGAGAAGGGTACATGATAAAAAACAAGATTTCATGTATACTTTGAAGGTGAACACACTAGTCCTCCCAAACCCAGTAAAGTCAACAGCTGTTTACAGACTCAACGCAGTGACTTTTTACAAACTCACTAGAAGCCCTGAGATGGAACCTCCCAGTTTAATCACCCCTGGATTCCAAGACCACAGAGACACTGAGACAATGAGCTTCAGTACTCATTGTATCGGGGGTTTACAACTGTTAGCTGGTGTAATCAATAACTCAAAGGAGACATCTAGTTATCTGCAAGGGTTTTAATTTCATTTTTGGTTTAAAAAGCTCCCCAGATCATTCTGATATACTTCCAGTGCTGGGGTATCCCAACTTTCTACTCTGCCCACCACTTTTTCCTTTATAAAGATTCACTTAAGTCAAATTCATCTTAAATTACATCACAGTTTAAATGTAAACTTACTCTATGATGAAAAAAATTCCCAAGTCAAAACTTTCCTTAATCATATTAGGGGTAATTCCTAAAATTCTAATTTGTAAATATCACATTTTTGTCTCTATCTTCTCTGTATATAATGATATCCTGACCAAGTGCCCAATATAATTTGTAATCTTATAAAATATTATGCTGGTAAAGCTATAGATGAACTTTTAAATTTGTTCAGTTACTTGAGAATTTTTTTTCTTCTTAAAAAAAGAAAAAAAAAAACCTCTCCCCAGATTTTTCTTACTAACATACTTACTGACTGATGAATGAAAGGCATGTCTTGTGTAGCCGCCAATCTACTGGAAAAACCTGTGCTACCATCGGGGATACCAAAATTCAATGGTTCTCTCTTCTTAATGACAATCTGCAAGAAAAATTACAACAGGATGACAAGGATATTTTATATAAAACCATATAGAAAATAATTGATCAATAAATTTGGTAATGGCTTAAATTGTGCTTGTTCTTTATTATGCACAATGCAGTAAGAATTACCCTGTAAATAGTACCAAAATTCCCATGCAATTAGAACATAAATCAGTTTCATACTAAGAAATATTGTAGCTCAGTTTAAAAAAAATCTTGTCTTTTTCTTCTCCCTATTTTATGAGGGTCCCTAAAATTATTTAAATAATAACATGTCTAATATTTTCTACCAAAAGTATACCCCACCATCTTTAACATGTGGAATAGCTGTAAGTGAATTAACTCTTCCTGGCTAATATAATTAGACTATTTACTTGAAATATTGTAAATTTCAGGAAAACACCATCAATCTAAATTAATGTAACAAGGCATCATATAATATACTAAGTCCCAGCAATATATTTCCACAAGGTATATATCAACTAAGAAACTTATAAGTACCCTTCCTTTTCAGTACTGAAATATTTGAACAACACAGTAAAAAAAAGAAAAAAAGCACATAAGTAGCTGAAACCAAGAAAAAGCTGGCAAGGAAATACATAAGGAGTGTTGAATAAATAATATCTTCATGTTATATAAAATATATGTATCTCTATATACATATATATACAAGCATATGTATAGAATGTTTTCTGTATTTGAATAAAAAATGGAATGCTCAGTATAATTATCTGAAATAGAATAAAATGGAATAACATTACAATATTAGAAGATGAAGCAGAACTAACTCTTCATTTATCAGAGTATAATATGAATGGACAGTATGTATGACTGGTATCAAGAAACAGCAATATGTGAAATATAAACAAGCATAAGGTTATTGAATGGCTACTTCTGGGAGGCAGAATTGGCTAAGTGATGAGACAAAGTCAGTCATGTTTCATTACGAGCTCTTCTTCTCTCTTTAAGTACATACTCTATTTGGGGAAAAAGAGAGGAGAGTAGTATTGTGCTCTTTCCAATATCTCTGCATCTCTAAGTGATCTCATTGTCAACTCCAAAGGGAGTGAAGGGGAAATGCTAACAAACATACCAACTTTACAGTATTTTACCATGGACTGCTTGCACTAGCTGTACATTGTATATAATGGGAAATATTAATTTATAGATATCATCATACTTGCAACGTGTTCAAACTGTTGGCTTATGTTTCTCTTAGCAAAGACTCGCACCTACTATCTGAGATAGAATAGAATTTCTGGAAATGCTTAGTTATGTTAGAAAACTTGGAAATATACATTATCAGATCTATGTCTAGGTCACGTGAATACATAAAATTCTTATTTAATGTGAGAGGAATCAAAATGATAAACAGGCTTTCTAAAATATACAATTAAACTGTCTGGTTTTAACTACTAGAATCTAAAAAGTATTTTAATCTCCAAAAGCACAACTCTTCAACATACTTTCTGTGTTTTCCGTATAGTTGGTGTCATGTCCTTGAAATAGTCAGGTTCCAGCTGTTCCAGAGAACTTTGTTGTGTTGCCACATTCCCATTCCCTCCTTCAATCTTCACACTTGTGGGTGCATCTTCATCCCAGGAAGTCCACTCCTCCACATCTGTCTAAACGTAATTGATTGAACTGTCAGCCAAGAAGGGACAACCTAATGATCACCACAATCTTTATTAGAGAAACAGGCTTTCTAAGACACTGGTTTTAAAACTGTTTTGAGCCACAGACATATATGCAATTCAAGCCACATACCAAAACTTTTTCAGGCAAATGCTTTTGAAAACTGAGCTAGCATTACATGTATAGCTCACAGAAAGTAGACTGGAACCTTCCGTTCAATCCTAACCAAACTGATCATCTGACTTAAAAAAAAAAAGTATCAACATTCTCCACAAGACAAGAGGGAAGTAAAAGCCTCAAAATATAGTATCAAACGCCCAAAAATAAGCCAGAATTTTTAATATATAAGGAATCCATGAATCTTAAATCACATGGAAAACTAATTATAAAATGGCAATTCCACGATGATATAAATGTAGGACATACATGAAATTTTTAAATATTAAATGTTCCATAAAAGTAACAGCATATAGTTAAAACCAGTGGAGGGGAGGAATTAGATGTTAAGAAATAGATACAATATAAAGAATAGAGTAAAAGTAATAGTATAACAAGCAATAAGAAAATCAGCAAGAGTCCTGACCACTCAATTACTTTGATGCATCCTAGTTTGAAAAGCCCTGTTCTGGAGCACATGCTCCATTTCACACTACCTGCTTAGGGACAGACGAATAATCAACTGTGGTGGGCAAAGTGATTTGGTCTCCACTTAATTTCCTTCCTCTGCCAGATCTGAAAGAAACAGGATATAGTTCAAGAACAACCCAAACAAGCATGAGTAAAAAAGCATTTACTCAGCCGGGCGGTGGTGGCGCATGCCTTTAATCCCAGCACTCGGGAGGCAGAGCCAGGCGGATCTCTGTGAGTTCGAGGCCAGCCTGGGCTACCAAGTGAGTCCCAGGAAAGGCGCAAAGCTACACAGAGAAACCCTGTCTCGAAAAACCAAAAAAAAAAAAAAAAAAAAAAAAAAAAAAAAAAGCATTTACTCATAATTTACTCAGAAGATGGATTTTTCAATTTATAATTATTATTTTAAATAATAACTGCTCAGAAAGAAAAAGCATGACTCAGCAATCTTGTCAAGCTTTCCAAAATCTTGAGCAATGTAGCTGCTTTTCAGTTTAGGATTCAGAAATACAGACAAAATTATAGGATTTGGAATGAATTGAAAACCAGACACATATGCAAGCCCCTTGAAGCCCTGTGCTACTCAAGTGCTCCGGGCTCCGTAGGTAAAGCTCTTCACTATTAACCAGGTAGGGCTAGTTTTACGCTTTATAGATTTCTTGTAAAATTAAGTATTCAGCTAGTTAAGTTTGAAAATCGGGGATTGGAGAGATGGTTCAGCAGTTAAGAGCACTGATTGCTCTTCCAAAGGACCCAGGTTCAATTTCCAGCACCCACATGGCAGCTCACAACTGTCTGTAACTCCAAGATCTGACACTCTCACACAGACACACATGTAAGGAAAACACCAATGCACATGAAACAAAAATATTTTTTAAAAAGAAAAGTTTGAAAATCAATTAGCCAAACTAAACCAATTTCTAACAACTTGTAGGAAAATACATTAAGCAGTTGTTAACATGAGTGATGGAATCTCCATTAACCAAGATTTTCAAAGTTACTTTCCTGAGTCTAGTGAGAATAACTCAATTTATCACCTACAATTTCCTCATTTGTAAAATGGATAGTCACACCTACATTTCTAATGTTCTTTTAAGGATTTCACTATAAAACAGATTTACAGCAACTAGAAGATCATCAGCTACATAGCAAGACATTAAAACACAGCATTTACTACAATCCAGTAGCCTGTAACTCATTCCCTCAGAGCTAAAGGAGTTAGTTTAGGACAAATTCACAAGTTTTATATTATTCGCTTTTAAAGGATGAAGACAAAACTATTACAGCCTATTAATTATAAAATTTATTCCACAAGTATGGAATTTTACAACACACAATCCAGGTTCGTTCTGACACCTAAGACAAGACCTATGCGCCTTTCTTGGAACTCACTTTGTAGACTAGGCTGGCCTCGAACTCAGAGAGATCTGCCTGGCTCTGCCTCCCGAGTGCTGGGATTAAAGGCGTGTGCCACCACCGCCCAGAGCTGGTTTTCTTTACAACTGAATGTACAGTCAGTCCTAAACATATTGACACTGGCAACAGAAATTCACAGTGACTACAAACAAAGTCCTAAATATGAAATCAAATACAGTTTCTTATTCTAACACTAACCTACACTGACCACAGTTTTAGAAACTGCAGATGCATGGGGGACACCCATGCTCCATGGGGATTGTTAACAACACCTTTTACCTCTGTCTCATATTAGTACTCACTCTCATCCTGCTTTCCCAGTAAATTTCTAATCACTCTTCTTCATTCTCTGACTTGAGCCTTTTTTTTATCATCAGTTTTTATCCTTGAGGGAGATTTCAACAGTCAACCCATGTCTTCCAGCTGTTTCTTGACTTCTCATCTAGCAGTGATCATTTCTACTCAACATCATTTCATCAACATGCTAACTCCTGAAGAGGCTCAGCCTAGCATTGTGTGTAACTTCTAAAACTGCTCACTGAAAAGAGAGCTGATTACCATTTACACCCATTTTTTCTTCTACCTTACCTTAAGTGTATCACTAAATTTTTCTGGAAATATTTAGGCCAAAAACCTAACAGTCTAACAGTTCCACTGATTCATAGCTTTTCTTTTGAGACAGAGTTATTATAGCTCTGCCTTCTGAGCTATATAGATCCGCCTGCCTCTGCCTTCCAAATGCTGTGATTAAAGGCATGAACCATCCTGGCTTCAGTTCCACTGATGACGAGTTAGGCCTGAACAACTTAGTACTTAAATATGTCCTGAGTTCTTAGTAGTCAATTGAAAAGCTCAATACACCTCTCTCTCTCTTTCTCTCTCTCTCTCTTTCTCTCTCTCTCTCTCTCTCTCTCTCTCTCTCTCTCTCTCTCTCTCTCTCTCCTCTACAATTAGAAAACTGACAAAAGAAGAATGCAACAGAGGACAGCCTAAGCGACACAGAAATACAGAGGCCAGCCTGGGAAGCACAGCAACATTTTGTTTCAAAACAAAAAAAGGAAAAAAAAGGCAGAAAATAAAAATTATTATTTTTTTATTTGGAATAAATTCCAAATTTTTACTACTGAAATATGTATGCCTTTTGTTCTTGCACAGGCTCTCAAGCCTTGAATCAGACTGAATACTGCCACCCTCACTTTCTGCTCTACATTAATTTTGGTGGCATAATTACTTTTTTTTTTTTTTTTTTTTGGTTTTTCGAGACAGGGTTTCTCTGTGTAGCTTTGCACCTCTCCTGGAACTCACTTGGTAGCCCAGGCTGGCCTCGAACTCAGAGATCCGCCTGGCTCTGCCTCCCAAGTGCTGGGATTAAAGGCGGTTAATTACAACCCAAGAACCTAGCTTTGCAAAGATCTGTTACCAAAAAAGCTGTAGGCCCTAGTTCTGCAAATATGAACTCCTTGAATGTGGATTCCACCAGTGCTCAACAGCTACTGAGTAGTGCAGCTCTGCTGGAAACTGTTAAACCTTCGAACACACTTCTGAATGTCATGGTGAGTCCTGAGGCACCTCCAAGTTGAGAAGCCACAGCTAGAGTGTAGCCATATGGTAAGATAGAAGGGTTTAGAATCTAAGGATAACCAGATGAAGCTAAACAATGTATTCTGGCCAATCTGAACACTCACACACAAATTATTTTTATTTATAGTTTCCTTATTTAAAGTTTCTAAAATACATTTTTATTTTATGTGTCTGTGTATTTCACATGTATGCCTGTGCACCATGTGCACACCTGGTATCCACAGAGGCCTGAAGAGGGCAATGGATTTCCTGAAACAGAAGTTTAGAAAGTTGTGAGCCACCATGTAGATGCTAGGAACCAAGCAGGTTGCTAAGGGAACCTTGTGGGACTTTCCCATTGTGCCTTTAGTAGTCTGCATTCTACTTTTTCTCTGCAAGAGCAGGTTCTCTGCAAGAGCAGCAAGTACTTTTAACCACTGCCATCACTCCAACCCGTCTGTTGAAAGTTTTCAATATAAATATAAAAATAGCATTCATATAGAAATACACATAGAAATACCTATGCTTAATTTTGCCTAACCACTTTTAAATATTCCAAATGAAAGAATTCATAATTTCTGTGGTGACAATAATGCTTAATGTTGGTCTGCTTCTTTCTACAAATTCACAGGACTAATTATTAAAAAATCTGAATGAACAAAACAACTGAAATCCTTTCTAGATCTGCAAAAATGTTTTTAAAAAACATAGAGTAGTGGATATTATAAACAGGACAACTAGTTTAAATAAAACATTCCATGTCTTTTAAAGTTAGGAAGTAATTCAAAGCAATAAAGAGAGACATAGGTCAGTGTGAACACAGAATCATTTACCTGCATATTAGTCTCTTTAGGAACGAGAACACTGTTGCTAGGCAGGTACAAACTTTAAATAACCGAAACTGAGTGATGGCCATGGTGAGAGCCAAAACCTGTGGAAAAGTGACACACACACACACAAAAACAACAATGTATTAGACACATTGCTGAAGCCATGTTCTTTTTAATTCAAACTAAGAAGTCCTTATGCAATAAAAAATATCTGACATTTTTACTTTTCTCTAAAAGCTATAAACATATCAGTAAATTCTAACACAATGTAAGTCATATAGAGTTTTTAGTAGTTGTGAGGAAGAATTGCCTTCATTCTCAGTCTCTGAAAAATGTTCTGCCTAAATTAGTACAACTTTATTTACAATTAAAAAACTCAAAAAGTATAAAATCATATATATTAAACCTTTCTATAACTTTTTAAATTTGATTCACTTCAACATTTTAACCTTTAGGTATTTTCATTATGTGTATTTCAGACGGAGAAACTGAACAGAGGAAAAATCAAATAGCCTGTTCTGAGCATAGCTAGTAAGTTCAAACAAAAGATAAAGCCCATCTAGTTCAGGTTTGCAAATCTAGCCATCTGTTCAAAGACACACTGATGCTTGGGCCTACACTTAGTAAGTCTATTAATCCACAGCCTCCGAGGAATAAGGACATATCACATCCAACAGTAACTTCTCGGTTTTTAAAGAGAGTTCATAATACAGTTTCCTCAACTAAATGAAGTATTTCACTAAGTAGGTTAAAAATTAAATAGGAAGAAAGAATCTTCACCTCTAATTGGGGGGGAGGGTAATAAATGCATTAGAAAACTAAGATCTGTATCTTAACCTGAAAGGTAACAATACGATTTGCTTTGTTGTATATATTATTTACATATTATGTCTCAATATAAAAGCTCAACATGCACAACAAAACAGTAAAGAAAAACAAAGAAGCAAACTGGAAATCAAGGAAAACGCACTAACTGTCATGTCCCTGACCTTGACTGCTCTGTAGTCACTAACTGGCAGTTCCTTCTGAAGAAAAACACAACTAGTGCTTTCTGTTTCTAGGGTTAAAAGTAGAATGCAGACTACTAAAGGCACAATGGGAAAGTCCCACAAGGTTCCCTTAGCAATGTCATGTATTTTTGTGCATGTGAAGACTGCCTATCTTAACTGAATGATCTATTCAATGACCAAGGCTGGAGGTGGCCCACTACTGAGCAGGTGCAAAGAACAGTGATTCTAAAAGAAAAGGAACCAAGAGCACATTAACAATTTCCTTCTTCAAGTAATATATATATTTCTGACAAATAACCCCAAAGTGGTGTACTAGGTTTCAAAAATGCAACAAAGCTGACTCCTTTTTCTCAAAGAATCTTAGAGATGCCAAATGGCTTATAAATCTTATTTAGTTTCCCAATGTTGTCCATATTGTTTCCTGCCTTCTTGGTGGAATAAAGTCTTCTTAATCCCAGTGTTTTTCTACTGGGAAACTCCACACTTTCTACTTCATAGTATAGTAATATCTGCATACTGTTTCTGCCCCACACGATACTTCTCTAGAGGAGTTTTTTACTTGGTATGTTGTTACCATTTGCAAAGTAAAACTTCAAAGAAATATTTGATGCCTCATTATAGGTAGAATGAACTGAACATAAATAAAATGGTGAATTAAGGCTTCATTTAAAGCTGATTGGTCAAAAGTAACTGTCAACAAAGAGAAAAGCAAACTTCTCAAAGAGAAGTTTGAGTACAGCATTAATGCCCTGCACAGGAAATGGATGGAACTGGAGACCATAATGTTGGGCAAAATAAGCTAGTCAAAAAGACAAAGATAGCATTTTCCCCCTCATTTGTACAAGCTAGATTTCCAGTACAAGAAGACATGAAAATAGATGTACTATTTGGCAAGAAGACAGAGACCAGTAGAACAATAGTAATGGCAGGCAGTCAGCAGGGAGAGGGGGAACTACATTACATAAAGGAATGAAATATAATGAAGCCCAATATTTTGTACAGTCAATATGCGCTAATAAAAACTGAGGGTAAATTTTAAAAATATAAGAAATTTTCAGAAAAAATATTTAAAAGGCAGCTAGAAGATTCATGGCATACAACACTGGAAAAGGACATATAACCAAAGAGATACTCCAGCAAGATTTTTTAGGGGAAAAAAAGACATTTAATACTTTGGTACCATGCACAGGGTTCAGTGTTCGGCTGGGATCAAACTTCAGTCAGAGTCTTGGTAGCTACAGTCATTACCTTCTCAAACATCCTTAAGTGTAAGTCCTCAGTAAGTACCTGTCATCTTGAATGACTCCAATAAAAAGCAGAAATAAGATTTCAAGTTTAAATGAAAAAACAGAAAACCAGATTATTACCGATTACAGAACAGAATTCCTCCATAGCAATGAACAATATCCTGATTCTGTGACAAATCTGCTTCTGTAATTAATGAAAGAGACCTAAAATTCACTAACCATCTATTATGAACCAAGCACTATCTAAACGTTAGCTAACCGAATCCACAGAACTTCTAGTGATATAGATATTATTTTCCTCATTTTATAGAATAGAAACAGAGTAAGCACATGTTTCCACATTCCTATAACCATTTGCACTCAAACCTACATCAATTTGATTTGAAAACCAAGAAAAACTAGTCATAAACATCCTTAGTAATCAGGGGAGATAGCTTAAGTTCCAGGATAAAATTTCCAGCCAGTTTCACTAAAATGAGGAAAATGTAACTGAGCTATTAAGCAACACTTTATCAATTACACTGGCTTATAGACAAATTTTATTCAGGACTTGTATATAATGTTGCCAATTCAAAGGAATGAATATGTATTAGCACATACTATGTTACATATGCTAAACTGATAAGGAGAAAACACTTGCCTGCACAGAGAAACCCTCTTTGCTACTGAATTGTCTTGAGTTTCTTCCTACATTTACTTTATTCAAAGGAAAGAGAGCCTGGAAAGGCAAGACCCCACCAGTGTGACTGAGTTTGTTATCTCTAAATCTTAGCTAATACCAGCATTTAGGTGCTCAAATACTTCTTGAATGAAAAGAAATTAACAGTCCTTGGGCCCTTAACATGTTCAGGATATAATTCAACAGTTTCACCATTTCCATTTAATAGATGAGGGCCATAACTGTACTGAGTAATTTAAACAGGTTAAATCAGGATTAATTGGAAGAGAAGAATTCCAAGGCCTGGCTCTCCCTACATATTTCATTTGAAATGATTTTAATTTTATGCATATCGCTACAGTCTGGTTTCTAAAATACCCTATAGATCACCAATTAGGAAAATATTTACTTGTTTCCTCTTTGTAATTTAGGTGCTTTAAAATGCTTTCTAGATCCGGGCAATACTGAAATAACCTACTACCAAAATACACGAATTGATTTTTTTTTTCTTGCTTAAAACGACTAACAAAATTCAGAAACTTTATATATGCCAGAAGAAGAGTTTTGAAGAAATGTCATCTCCGATTAAGCAATTGGAAAAAGAGTTCTGTTGTGTCAAGTGAGAAAGATTTCTCTATACCTGGGGCAGAAGGCATAAAGAAAAAGAATCCTGCATGATTAAGTCAATCCCTCCTTGTGCTCGGTGATCACATCCTGGAGTAGAGATCCATCATACAATTCATTAAGCCAAGCCGGTTGATACCCACTAAAGGAGACATCTACTGCTGTACTTCTAAACCCGAGTCTGTCTGTCTTTTCACACAAATACTTCAAAGTCCTATGATCTACAGCAGCACAGAACATACTCAACTGAAGTCCGTAACTCGCTCAAGTTAAAAATCACCAAGCTCCCAATGAAAAGCCACCTGAACTCAAATATGAAAAACCAAGGGTCCACAGCAGAGGCAAGGAAGCAGACACAGCCGTGCAGTTTTGAAAAGTTGGTGGTTAAAAAAAAAAAAATCGACCATTCTGTACCATCAGGCCTTCACAGGGGACACCGCCGGGACTGCTATCTAGGTGGGTTGCCTTCTGAACGACTACACGGAGAGTTTCCTAACCAAGCAAATGTGCGCTTTCAGATCACCCACCTAGAATTTTTGCGGATGGGGAAAAAAAAAAAATCATACCCACTGCACGGATGAGCAAAACAACACGCGAGCGAGCTGTCGGGTTACGCAATCCCGCGCCCGGAGGCGGGCGTCAAGTGAGGCGCTCTCCACTGCAGAAGGTGGGAGCCGGGTGGGCTGGGGTGTGGATGTTGGGGCGATCGGGGCCCCAGGGGTGCGAGGCCCGGAGAGGGAGGGCAGGACGGCGGCACATCGCCCTGGGGGAAGACGGAACGTGGGGCTTTTCCGGGTCGGCAGCTCGCAGGCCGGTGTCCCGGGCGTGAGCGTGGCATAGCAGAGGGTACACACCGCCGGGCCGGTTCCTAGCCACGCTGGGCTCTCCCCCTACAGCTCACCCTGACCCGGAAACAGTACCCCGGAGCGGTGGCCCGGCGTGGAGGAGGTCGGGGTAAGAGGGCCGAAGAGGAAGGCGGGAGAGCAGGAAGTGCGGGGACGACCCAGAGGGTGCCGGGGAAGCGCGGCCACCGGCCCTCAGGCCCCTGAACCGGGGGGGCGGGGGAGGGGAGGGTCAGGAGGCGGGTGGGAAGAGGGGGAAAAAAAAAAAAAAAAAAAAAGCCCCTCGCGGGGCGCGCGCGCGGGCCGCACACACTCACCTGCCCCTCCCCCTCCCCGCCCGCCCGGCGGAGGCTCCCGAGCTGCCGCGGGCCGCGCGTGCGCGTGCGCGCGCGCGCACACACACGCACACGCACACACACACACCGCCGCCGTCTCTGCCTCGAGTCCGCGCGCTCGCGCTCGCGCCCGCGCCCGCGCCCGCGCTCGGCTCAGTCCCAGCTCCGCTCATTCAAAGCCGGGCGCGCGCTCGGCCGCAGCCGCCGTTGCCGCCGCGCAGCCGCCATGTGGCCGCCCCTTCGCCAGAAACCCGCCCGGACCCCGCCCCGGCCCCGCCCCGGCCCCGCCCCGGCCCCGCCTCTAAGGCGGAGCTAGGGGCTGTCTCCAGGCTCTCCCTTCCGCACCCCGCCTCAGGTATCTTCCGGCCCAATAGGGGAGAGGCTGGTTCTTTGACGTACAAGCCGCAAGCCAATCAGCGTAGAGGGCGTGGCCAGCGCGACAGCCTTAAGGAGGCTTGAGCCTTTGGCCTTTTGTTGATAGTGGTGGTGGTTGGTTTCCCTGATTTTTCTGTTTTTCTGTGTCGTGGAACGATGGGGCTTGTGCCAAGCTGTCCTCCTTTCCTCCCATATAGATGAGTGTCTCGCCTGTAACCAAGCCCCTTTCTGTTCCATCCGTAAAACTTCTCCTCCGGATGGGGCCAAGGGGAAGCTGCATCTAGATTAGTAAACATTAGAGGGGCTCCTGTCTCAGAATGACTTGGATGTGATTAGGACAGACCCCCAATTACTGCAGCACCTGAGACGTTTACGAGTCTTTTCCAGGATTTAGCCTGCTCGGCTTAAATCTTAATTCAGTTTTTAACTGGAGATAAAGGAGCATTTCCTCTAAGTCCCTCATTATATCCTGGCCTCCATCTGGGGCTAGGCGTTTTACCAAGCCCCTGGCCTTATTGTGGTTTTATCTTAGAATCGGATGTTTTTCTGTTGTGTGTTTGTTTTTGTTGTTTTGTGTTTACTTTTTTTTTTTTTTTTGGTTTTTCGAGACAGGGTTTCTCTGTGTAGCTTTGCGCCTTTCCTGGAGCTCACTCGGTAGCCCAGGCTGGCCTCGAACTCACAGAGATCCACCTGGCTCTGCCTCCCGAGTGCTGGGATTAAAGGCGTGCGCCACCACCGCCCGGCTTGTGTTTACTTTTTTATTGTACATATTCATTACTATGTCCCATAAAAAATGTTTTCACATAAGGATATATTGTACCTTGAACACATGTTCCCACACACACAGACTGTACTACCTACACCCTTTTTTCTTCCACCTCCCATAGACCTTTGTTCCCCTAGAGTCCAGGGCCTAAATAGTAGCAAAATTACAGTTACGAAGTAGCAACAAAAATAATTTTATGGTTGGGGTCACCACAACATGAGGAACTGTATTAAAGGGTCGCAGCGCTAGGAAGATTGAGAACCACTGAGCTATTTATTGCTGTATTAGTCTAGTATTCCACAAGAAGCTACTATTAGAAAGTGGCTGGTAAGGGTGTGTGTGTGTGTGTGTGTGTGTGTGTGTGTGTGTGTGTGTGTGTGTGTGTGTGTGTGTGTTTGTGTATTTGTGTATATGGTAAATCCAAAAGCTGAAAACAGTTTCTTCAAATTGTTGCTCAGCTAGCCATTTTCTTTAAATACCTTTTAAAAGTGACAACTGCCTTGTTCTCCCACCATGATTCATCCATTATCTATCCATTTAACTTCTAGCTTTCCACCTCCCCCTCCTCCCTGCAGTCTGCTCCACATTTTTATTAGTAATTTATTGTGTTTTATTTTCTTTATCTTTGAAAAAGAATCTTGCTGTTCTCAAACTTAAGCCCCTCCTGCCTCAGGCTCCATGGTATTCTGGGATGACTGATGTGTACCACCAATCCAAGACAGCAACTTAGTATGCTTACCCTGCAATTAGGAAGACAGTGAATTTAGGATTCTTACTCTGGTTCTAGGTAAACATGAATATATTGTTTAATCTTTTTGTCTGGATTTCCTCATAAGTGAACTTACTGTTCACAAAGCATTTAGTAAAGTCTGGTGTTGTTTGGGTTTTTTTGTTTGTTTGTTTTTTGTTTTTTTTCTCTTCACTCTTTTGGTGGCTCGCCACCCAGCTCCCAAATAAATCACACACGGAGACATTTTTCTTACTTATAAATGCCTGGCCTTAGCTTGGCTTATTTCTAGCCAGCTTTTCTTAACTTAAATGATCCCATCTACCTTTTGCCTCTGGGCTTTTTCCTTTTCTTCTGTAATCTTAATTTCACTCTTACTCCATGGCCGACTGTGTGGCTGGGTGACTGGCCCCTTCTTTTCTCTCTCCTTGATCTCTCTTGCTTCCCAATCCCTCTTTTTCTCCTTCTATTTGTTCTCAATGCCTGCCAGCCCCTCTTGTCCTTTCTCCTGCCTTACTATTATTGCTATTGACCATTCTGTTCTTTATTAGACCAATCAGGTGTTTTAGACAGGCAAAGTAACACAGCTTCACAGAGTTAAACAAATGCAACATAAAAGAATGCAACACATCATTGCATCATTAGAACAAATGTTCCACCGCATAAACAAATGTAACACATCTTAAAATAATATTTCACAGCTGTTTGGCATATATCGAGCACTAATAGATTATAGCCATTTGATACTTCCCTACATCAAAGAAATCCCCTGCAGTCCCCTAAACAGGTATTCTAACTGTAATCTCTTTTATTGTCCAAATTCCAATAATCTATAATTTCCAATATTTTTCATATTTCCAAAGTCCAATAATTTTGACATGAGCTTTTTTTTCTTTTGGTTTTCTTTTAGATAAAGTTTCCCTGTGTCCCTGTAGATCAGGCTGACCTCTAACTCAGAGATCCTGCCTCTGCCTTCCAAGTGCTGTGATTAAAGGTGTGCCTGGCTGGTTTTTTTTTTTTTAATTGATTACTTATATCTTTGTTACAAACAAATTACTTATTATCCCCATGATAATTTCTTTTTCTGTGCTTCTTCTTTTTCTTCTTCTTCTTCTTCTTCTTCTTCTTCTTCTTCTTCTTCTTCTTCTTCTCCTCCTCCTCCTCCTCCTCCTCCTCCTCCTCCTCATCCTCCTCCTCCTTCTTCATTTTAAATTCACCACTTCTGACTAAAAGGAAGGAGGTACATACTTCTATAGAAATCCTGGTGCCTGCATACTTGTTTCACAACATACAACAAAAGGAAAGCAACTGTACTGGCTGGCAAGTTTTATATCAACTTGACATGAGCTAGGATCATCAGACAGGGAGCCTCAATTTCATTGAGAAAATGCCTTCATAAGATAGGACTGTAGGCAAGCTTGTGGGGGCATTCTCTTTATTAGTGACCCATGTGTGTTGCTTGGATTCTAATGGATCCCTGAGGGAGGGGGTGAGAAGGTGCGGCATCAACAACACAGACACCTAGAGTCCATTGAAGACAAATAACAAACTCATTTATTCAATAACACAGAAGGTCTTATGTACCCTCCTCCCAGCACCCAGTCTATGTGGTCATCCCTCATTGGCTGGGTATGATCAGGAATTCTGACAGTGACCAGGAACTCTAACAGTTCCTATTGCTAGGCCCACAGGCAGACTCCAGGTTGGCTCTTAAGGAGTACATTATGTACATGACTTGGCAACTGGTCTGAGCCAATTTCCTTGACCCTTTGGGCCTGTTCTACTACATATCCACCCTTTTATTTTACTACATGGGCACTCAGCAGGAGTTGAGAGTTCTTTGCTCCGGCCTTGTTGACCCCGCCTCAGGGGGGCTCAGCAACTGGACTGTGACTGTCTTAGGTTGGCTTGCCAAACAAGCTCATAACCGTCTTTGACTACCAGCCCTTCAAGAGCATCCATCCCTGGGGAGTCACCCTAGGTGGGGAGTGTCAGGCAGTAGATTTTGAATTTCAGAAAGCCAAGCATGCACAACCTCCTGTGGAGGGCTATGAGTTGGATGTCTAAGAGCCATTAACACCTATAGAGTTACCTTAGTGACTGCCTGTTGTTGGATGTGCTGTAGGAGACACTTAAAAAGGAGAAAGAGCAAAAGTACCACCCCGCCAATCAACACATAAGTAAAATCCAAGAGGGATCTAACAGCCTCTTTATATCATGCCAAACCTTTTCAAAAAATAAAGAGTCAAAGGCCATAACCTGTGCTCTTGTCTGACTTAATTGGAAAATTTCATGTGTTAGCTGTAATGGATAATATAGAAACTTAGTTGACCATGGGCCCTTAATATATTTAGCTAGCTCCCGGCCTGCCAAACTTATATTCCTCATCTCAAAAGGTATTATACAAAATGAGGAAAAGCAAGGCTCCACAAATCTTCAACCTTTAGAGAGGCAATGAACAAGAAAGGGGAGTATATACATTACCCATCCTGGGTGATTTTCTCCTTGGTGGAAGCAGGCTGACCTATGGCCAAGTGCACATCTCTTGCTAAGACCCATATTGGTATAGTGGCACTCTGAGGAAAAACACAAGCATATCCTCTCCCATGGGTTAGCAGGGGGGCTGGCAGCTGCCATTGGAGGGAGATAGGATCTCTCCATCTCACCAGTGGCAGAGGCTTGTTCTTTGACAGAGGTGCCCAGTGCTTGTAGGCTGAGCTGAGCCCCTTGTAGGGCCTTAAGGGCCAGGTCTGAGACCTGTTGAAAATAGGGATTCAAAACAATCTGTGCCTGGTGCACAGAATAGACATATTCCCCATGCCCTGTGAGCATATCATAGGTCACTAGGATGTTAAGCAAGATGTTTTTCCAGGCCTGGGATTCTGCCTAATTCTCATAGGCTGATTTCC